GTCGTCAACGAGCAAAGGCAGCCAGTATTATTGGAAATGAGAGTTTCCCCGGAACCAATGATTCGAGCAAGAAGAGCTTTACTTCACTTTTGGATCATATACATACTAATATGATCGGCTTGGCTTGCTTCCTAGGGGTTTGGGGAAGTTTTGGAAGTTGTGAAGGTCCTCTAAGGTAACTCTAGGGCTCGGGGTCCAGGCCAAGCGGAGGTCAACAAAAGGTCAACTCGCTTCAGAAGGCTGGAGGTAACCTAAGATTCCTAAATACAGGGGTCTCATGCATTCCAAGTAGCTGAAAAGTGGCAACTTGGATGTTTGAAAGACCCGCCGGGTTCGCTCGGAGACTAACTCACTCGTCTCGTTCATGTATTTACTCGCAGCATTCGCTGCAAACTCGCAGGCAGGAGAGACCTTGAGTCCAGGCCGCCTTCCTCATAGAAGCCGCCGGGTTGACCCCGAAGGCCGAATTCTATGGTGGAGAACGCTGTAATAATAATTGGGCCATGAGAGACCTTCTTAAGTATTGCAAAAGAAAGGGCCTGCTGATAGAGCTGGGCGGGGAGGCGATACTAGTTATCAGGTCAGAGAGAGGCCTGGCCCGTAAGCAGGCCCCCTTAAAAACCCATTACTTAATAAGGATTTGTTACGTGCGATATGCCGACGACTTACTACTGGGAATCGTGGGTGCCGTAGAGCTTCTCATAGAAATACAAAAACGTATCGCCCATTTCCTACAATCCGGCCTGAACCTTTGGGTAGGCTCCGCAGGATCAACAACAATAGCTGCACGGAGTACGGTAGAATTCCTCGGTATGGTCATTCGGGAAGTCCCTCCGAGGAAGACTCCCATACAATTTTTGCGAGAGCTGGAAAAGCGTCTACGGGTAAAGCACCGTATCCATATAACTGCTTGCCACCTATGCTCCGCCATCCATTCAAAGTTTAGGAACCTAGGTGATAGTATCCCGATCAAACAGCTGACGAAGGGGATGAGCAAAACAGGGAGTCTACAGGACGGGGTTCAACTAGCGGAGACTCTTGGAACAGCTGGACATTAATGAACCATATTTTTTATTGGTTCTTATTCCAAAAATTGGATAGGGGTCAAGACGCAGTCGGGCGCCGGCGGCTTACTCAAGTGCCCCCCGAACCGCGCGAAATGGTTGCCTATTACACGGCTCACTAACTCTGCCTGGGGTGGGGGTATGTACCTATTTATTATTCGTCGCCGGTCCGGCTTAATGGAGAAGGAAATTCATTCTTAATCTAGAGAGTTCCCTTTCGTTAAGCGCATCGAGCCAAAAGACTTTTCAGTCAGAAAATTAGGAAGCATGGACTCACTCTACTCCTCGCGGCGGTATTGCCACATAATGGAATAGATAGCATCTTTTTCCTTTTGAGTTTGAAAGGGAAAAGGAATATGGTTCGGGCAAGGGCACAGTGCAGAGAAAGGAGAAAGCAGCTGAGCTATGGAAGCATGAGATCTTGAAGCTATGATAACCGTGCTAGTCGTGATGACGCAATTGATATACAAAAGGTTCTTTTATTGATGCTGATGAGCTGGCTCAACTATGACATTTGAATACCCTTGCCTCTGCACGACATATGGATCGACCACTGCATCCATAGAACACGTGCGAATGTATGATCAAAAGTACTTTCCGTCTTGGGAATTGGTAGAATCAGAAATGAGTGCTTCATACAGATCTATGATTAGACTAAGTTAGGGTACCAGTGGTGTCGTTTGCAGGGCTTGCCAAGGGCGCTACACCGCCATGATAAGTACTCGTAGGAAACGCGTGGGTACTTTTGAGCGTCAGATCCTGTAGTACCGTAGGAGGGCCGTAGAACCATAACGTGGTAGGACTATTCAGTAATGAGGATCCTCAGGGTCAAAGGACGGGAACGAGCGGAGTTCTTGCATGGTTCTACCTCGAGGGCTATGCAGTGAAAATGGGTGCATGTACATCACATCTCTGCTTCCTTCACCACGTTAGGACAAGCGGATCATTTATTGGTGAAGGGTGGGGGTTTACATACAACCGAGACAAAGTGGTTTATGATTGAATCTCAGAGGCATTCTTATCATTTGGTAGATCCAAGTCCATGGCCTATTTCGGGTTCACTCGGAGCTTTGGCAACCACCGTAGGAGGTGTGATGTACATGCACCCATTTCAAGGGGGTGCAAGACTTCTAAGTTTGGGCCTCATATTTCTCCTATATACCATGTTCGTATGGTGGCGCGATGTTCTACGTAAATCCACGTTGGAAGGACATCATACCTATTAGCTAGTTGGTAGTTCCTAAGGAACCGATAGATAGGAGCTCTTCCCGATGCTACCATCTTTATCGTTGTGGGAATACCTGAGGCATGTAGCTAAGCGAATAGGGCAGCTAGTGAAGTTCAGAGGAAGGAGAGGTGTAGTTTATTGCATAGGTAAAAAGAGATGCTACAGAATAAGTCCTACGGTTCTCTTCTCCTAGCGCAGCAAGCTCGGGAACCCCCTCTATCATCGTATGAGGGGAAGGTACCTCCTCTAATCCCAAGCTAGTTCTTAGTGAGCTTTCTCTCTTCGGGACACAGAACTCCCGGAACTTCCTTTCTTGATTCACCCAGAACGGAACTTGCTCTAATCCTTCTCGTTAAAGTCACTGAATGGGTAAGTCACCAATCCCTAAAACGGACTATGTAATGTACTTTATCTGCTGGGTTACGGGGGGCATTTTACCAGAGGTTTAGATTGATACAATCTACCCTTGTGTGATTCCTGTTGAATCATATACTGCGGGGCGCAGGGCGGACGATTTCAAAGCGGACTCTCCCTCCCCATTCATTAGATAGAGAAGATCACCAAGATTTCGCGATCCACTGCCGAACTTATTCCATTTCAATATTATGCCTTTCTCTCCTGCCTACTCGTGCTCGTAGCTCGATCGGAGGTCAAGAGCGTGGTCCGGCGGAAAAACGGAAGTCGTCCGTATCAAGTAATACGTGAATTGCTCAGTAGTGCTTCGCCACTACCGTAGCTGGCGGAAATAGCTTAATGGTAGAGCATAGCCTTGCCAAGGCTAAGGTTGAGGGTTCAAGTCCCTCCTTCCGCTCCTGGCGAAGAGGCTGGTGACCAGAGAAGGTCTGTGATAAAAGCAATCTCTCTCCGGTCGGTTCGACTGTTAATGGAAAAATGAATAGATCCTTAGGAAGAAAAAGGCTCTTTTGCTCTTGTGTAGAATCAGTTGTTACAGAAGGAGCAGTTTTCATTTCGCAATGGAATCAGAATTAGCTACGATCAGTGAAAATATCATAGTATAGTAAGAGCCAACAAAGTAGCTGTAACGTGAACAGCTAAAGCTCCTTACCTTATATGGGCTGCACCGCGCTGAATGATCAAATCCCATTTATTCTTATATGGGCTGCACCACGCTGAATTAAAAATGGTGCCTACGCATTAAATGATCTTCCAGTTCCGGGGAGAATTCGCAAAACTCCGTTTCCATCGAGAATTGAATGGAGTTTTTCTGTATTTCGACGGGAAAATCTAACAGAGACATTACTGTTGAGATTCTGACCGAAAAATTAGACATTCCATGCCCTAGGAGAGTGCTTTGTCGTGCTAGGTCACTTACATATCCTTTGTCTTTATTTGACCCCAAGAATGGATTAGATCGAAAGGACTTTCCTGTCGAACCCCTCCTTATTATCAGAGAAAAGGGAAAGGGCTTTTTCAGCTGGTGCGCAGGAGCGCACTTCCGTTTTCCCTTTACTAGTAGGGTGGGGGTCCCGTGGTTCCTATGCCGCCGCGTTTCCCGGTGCTTTTCTTTTAGTGCTTCGACCCGAAGCGATAGCTTCTAACTAGTTCAGTGGATAAGATGGCTGCGCTCCAGCTCACTCAAGAATGGGACGGCAGTGGTCCACCGGCAAGCTCGTTCTGATCTTGGACGCAGTACATTGGAATCCTGAAACACCACCACGAACGCTACCGCGCGTTCGCCTGCGGTGCGGTAAGGCACCACCCTGTTGTGCCAGAAGCCAACTCCGGCGTGTCAGCTTAGTTATCCTCATCAAGCCACTTACTTGATGTCTAGCTTCCCAACTGGTGGACGGTTCCTTTTCCCCCAGATCAATGAAGAAGGTAGAAGTAAGTTGATTCTTCCGAAGAACCGGAAGCGAAGCGCTATGCCGGGGTGGGGGGACGGGAAAAGAAACGGCTCCGAAGAAAGAAATTGGGGTAACTAAGCTGACACGCCGGAGTTGGCTGCTGACACAACAGGGTGGTGCCTTACCGCACCGCAGGCGAACGCGCGGTAGCGTTCGTGGTGGTGTTTCAGGATTCCAATGTACTGCGTCCAAGATCAGAACGAGCTTGCCGGCGGACCACTGCCGTCCCATTCTTGAGTGAGCTGGAGCGCAGCCATCTTATCCACTGAACTAGTTAGAAGCTATCGCTTCGGGTCGAAGCACTAAAAGAAAAGCACCGGGAAACACAGCGGCATAGGAACCACGGGACCCCCACCCTATTAGTAAAGGGAAAACGGAAGTGCGCTCCTGCGCACCAGCTGAAAAAGCTCTTTCCCTTTTCTCTGATAATAAGGAGGGGTTCGACAGGAAAGTCCTTTCGATCTAATCCATTCTTGGGGTCAAATAAAGACAAAAGATATGTAAGTGACCTAGCACGACAAAGCACTCTCCGAGGGCATGGAATGTCAAATTTTTCGGTCAGAATCTCAACAGTAATGTCTCTGTTAGATTTTCCGGTCGAAATACGGAAAAACTCCATTCAATTCTCGATGGAAACGGAGTTTTGCGAATTCTCCCCGGAACTGGAAGATCATTTGATGCGTAGGCACCATTTTTAATTCAGCGTGGTGCAGCCCATATAAGAATAAATGGGATTTGATCATTCAGCACGGTGCAGCCCATATAAGGTAAGGAGCTTTAGCTGTTCACGTTACAGCTACTTTGTTGGCTCTTACTATACTACGATATTTTCATTGATCGTAGCTAATTCTGATTCCATTGCGAAACGAAAACTGCTCCTTCTGTAACAACTGATTCTACACAAGAGCAAAAGAGCCTTTTTCTTCCTAAGGATCTATTCATTTTTCCATTAACAGTCGAACCGACCAGAGAGAGATTGCTTTTATCACAGACCTTCTCTGGTCACCAGCCTCTTCGCCTCTTTTGCATTAACATATTCCCTCGTACTCGTACCTGACTTCATTAGACGATCCTACTTAGGGCCTTGAAAGCAGAAAACAGAGTAAGGAATATATGCTGCTAGGGCTCATACGAAGAAGCCAACTCGGTAAAGCTAGTTTACGGTTCCTTTTCTTGCTTGACGGTACGCTTTTAACCAAGCCTAATCCATATAAGAAAAGCAAACAACTATGAAAACAGGGCAAGAAGATGCAGACGGACGGTACGCAATGAGATTGGAGTACCTGGCAGGGGGCCCACTGAGTAAGATTCGGGGGCTTCCGGCGCAGAAGCTCATTCTGAACCGCGGGAACCTTCGTCTCTTCGACACAAACGTTATGTCAAGAGGCTGATGGTGATGAGGATCCATGCGCACTCAAATAAAAGTAGTTTGCGTATTGGGTTATCCACGGTCTTTTTTCAATCCGTTCTAACTGTAATAAGAGAAGAGGGAAGTCCGTCTAAAGAAATTAGTGAAGTAAAGTGATATGGATGTTCATTAGTTCAGTAAAGTGTTAGTAATGTTGCTGGGAGGGTGTCTGTCAAACCCTGAGGATCATCAATAAAGAACTATCCACAAGAAAGGTGGTCTGGTCAAATGAAAAAACTCTTAGCAGTGATCTTAGTTCAGTAAAGTGTTAGTAACGGATCATAGTCGTTAGCAACCTATTCCTAGCCTTTCATCGAGGGCTATGCAGTGAAAGACAAAGCCCATACTTTTGGTTGCTGGGAGAGGACTCAGCTGTTAGTTAGTATCCTCTTGGTTTCGGGGATACTAACCTTAGCCTAGTTTATACAGGAATCAATGATTCGGTGACTGCTTTAGCTAGTATAATCAGATGCAACAAATGTACAATCAAACAATACCAGCATGGGAGAAAAAGGAGACTCATCACATTCCATCAGTCACTCGAGTCAAAGCATAAAGCAGAGCAATCGTACTCCACTCAAGAATAATCCCATCAAACAAAAATGGGCGATTCACATTTCCCTTCCCTCGACCTGGCTCTCTTCAACTTGTTTCGACCGGCTTCTATATTCTGAATGTTTCAACCAATTTCACTTTCACCCTTATCGTTCTAAATGATCTTTCTCTTTGACTTCGAGTTTCAGTATTCGTGTGACTTATGCTCCACTTGATTAGCGTAGCTGCCTTAGCTTGCCCAGAATTATCGATTTCCTCGTATGATAGGGAGGGCCAAGCATTAAGATCCATCGGGTTACCATTCCTACCAGTAGGTAGGCCTTGGTCCTGATAGGCACTGGTGTATCCTATATGAGTTGTTTAATAGGTCCCAATATCCACTAATCGTTGTTTCCAGATACGGTTGCCGGTTGACATCTGTTCTAATTCATCGATACGAGAAGCAAATTGTTGTGTGAAGGAATCAATATCTCGACATAAGCCAAGAGGCAGATCTTGTGCCACTCCACCTGGTCGTATGAAACTGGCATGCATCCTGGCTCCCGAGACTCTTTCATAGAATTCCAACAATTTCTCCCGCTCCTCAAAAGCCCACAGGAATGGAGTTAATGCTCCCACATCCATAGCATGAGTAGTTAAAGCAAGTGAATGATTTGAAAATCGAGTTATTTCACGGAATAACACTCGTATATATTGAGCTCGTAATGGTACCTCGCAATTCAAAAGTTTCTCTACAGCTGAAGAATGAGCGTGTTCTTGGGCCATCATAAAAACATAGATAGGGTCGAAAACGGAATGAAAAACGAAACTTTACGACAGCTTTTTCGTACACGTTCACTTGCGTCACATACACAAGTGCTCTCTGAACCGTGCAATAAGGTCACCCATAACACGGCTCTCCCACTTGAGTTACTTTAGCCCCAGGCCATGCTATTCAATGATATTGGAAAAATGGCAGCGTAACGTAAGAACTAGTATTGAAAGGTAGTCCCCTTTTGAGGGAGGAAAAGCCTTTCAATAGGAGCCCTACTTCCCGAGGTCCAACGGAACTCGACTGAAAGGAGAGGTATTTCTTACTCGACTAAAAGGGTATGTACCTCATCACTTCAATTGTTGCGCAAACCAATTTATTTCTTAGTCACCGGGCGGAGCGCGCTTTTGGTACTTTGCTTATAGCTTTTTAGGTTATGCAATAGAAGGGAGACAACGCTCTGGGCTTGCAGAAATGAATGGATCAGAAAGAAGGGGGCTTGATTCAATTTCCAGGCCGGGCGGGAGGTGAAAGACCATAAGAGAAGATTGCCCTCCCGGCAAGGCGTTCCCCGGCGTTCCTCGGCGCTGTCATCTATCTCGACCCATTCCCTGATTTTCTCTGTATAAGGACCTCCTTCCCTTCTGCCCACTCTCCGTTCACACAGTTCTCAAAGCAGAGGAGGAATGGTGGGCAGAAGGTACCACGAGCCCTCTGTCCCACACATCTATCCAGAAGCAAGTGTAGTTCACCGGTTCCACCGAATGCTCCTATCTCTCGGCAAAGATCGTGTGAGTGTGCAGTTATGCTTCGGATGCTTCGCAATAGATCGACCCAGTTCCCGTTCTTTTCCGGTGCACTCGCTTTATATCTCTAATACACAAGGAAGGACGCGGTGGGAAGGGGTTCCTCCAGCTTCGCTGAAGAAGCTAGGTTCCTCCGGGGGTTGGTGATTCCGTGTATGGATGATCACCTTGAGCCATGAATTTAGTAACGCAAGGTGGGCCTGTTTCTCCCCTTGCGTTGCTAATTCCTCATAAAGCCCCTCCCTCCATACGTCCAGTTGGTCATCCCGAACAGTATCCCGGGTTTGACAGAGAGCAATTTGTTGCTCCAGCTCGCGCGCCGCCCGATCTATGCAGGCGGCTACTTCCCGACGACGGTCGGGATCCCTCTCGTTCTGGAGGTTCCGTTCCATTTCCTGGATTCGCTCCAGATCCTCCAACAATTGGAGATTCCGCGCTCGTAAAGAGTCGGAATTATCGATTTCCTCGTATGATAGGGAGGGCCGAACATTAAGATCCATCGGGTTACCATTCCTATCAGTAGGTAGGCCTTGGTCCTGATAGGGTCCCACTCTATGAGATGGCCTATTATAGCCCTATGTGCTATAAGTAAGGGCTCCTCGGATAATCTATATAATCTATCAATAGAAGTCTCTTCACCACATGATGATACCCATGCTCGAAGGGGAACCTTCAAAGCAGGATTTGAGTTCTATAGCTATACAACTCTGGGGAATCGGCGTGCAGGAGCGTACTGCAGAACTATGACCCATACAGTGGAAGCTCTGGTCCCACTAATTTACCTAAGCAGGTCTCCTTAAGTTAAGTAAGTGCATGTCCTTTCTTTTGAAGGTTGGGGAACCTACCGATGAAGATTCTCTCTACCATACTGGGTAATATAGATGAACAAGCCATGCCCACCCCTCTCTGTTTGATAACAATTTCCCCCTAGTTTGCTTGAAACAGATAAGCTTGCCCAACTGCAACAAAGAGCCTAGCTTTCTTGGTTTGATGAGCTTATACTCGCTTTCTTGGTTGGATTCTACTATAGTTATAGTAGCGCGTGGAAGAGGAAATCTGCTTCAGCACACCCTTTTCTAAAGCAGAGGAAGCTCAAGAAAACTACCAACTGAGGCGAGCGTAGTTCCCTATTTCCCAAGGAAAGGACGAGTTGCATTAGTGTGCTTTCATAGGAATACAGCTTTTCTTTGCTTAGTGTACTGCTAACAACCTTTTGGCAGTAAGGAGAGGTATTTCTTACTCGAAGTGTAGCGAGAGGTTTCAATAACTCGAGTGAAACAAGAGGAGAGGGGGGAGAAAGTCCAAGATTGCAGTAAGTTTGATAATGATCGAGTGACATTGCTTTTTTGGTCCGAACCAAGGAATCCCTTATATATGATGCAAAATGGATCTTGTTCTATCGTTGATCAGAGATTTTTCTATGAAAAATACGAATCGGAGTTTGAAGAAGGGGAAGGAGTCCTCGACCCGCAACAGATAGAGGAGGATTTATTCAATCACATAGTTTGGGCTCCTAGAATATGGCGCCCTCGGGGCTTTCTATTTGATTGTATCGAAAGGCCTAATGAATTGGGATTTCCCTATTTGGCCGGGTCATTTTGGGGCAAGCGGATCATTTATGATGAAAAGTATGAGCTTCAAGAGAATGATTCGGAGTTCTTGCATGGTTCTATGTAAAGTATCTGTCAAAAATGGGCGTTAGGAGTAAAGACAAAGCTCTATGCCTTTGTCTTGGAGCAAGAAGAGCAGCAAACTGCCTTCCTTTCACATTGTTCCGCTGGTCCGAACTATTTACTTTACGCCTCGTGAACAAACTCTCCTCTCTCTGATCCGTACTCCTACAGAGTGACTGTACTGGTCTATAAACCTTCAAATTGGAGTTGCGCCTTGGGCAGCAAGAGCAGGGACGGAACGGATACTGGCAGACGGACTACAACTACTACATACTGGTATTTAGACTGATGGTCTGAAACCTTTCTTCAGAACTCGCTTTTGGTGCAGTTCTCACTATTAGTTATAAGAACTTTTCCGCATGTCAAAGACGCAATTGGTCTTCTCCTCCAAGAGGTTGTATAAACTCATTACCCAAAATATGAAAAAGAGGAAAATCCAAGTTGGAGTGGAAAAAAGAGGACTTTTGTCAAATCCTAAATAAACAGTCAAAAATATCGAAAGGACAAAGCTTACAGCTTTGAGGCATTTAAAAGGAGACATTTCTCTTCCTTTTCTTTCCATTACGAACGACACGTTTCGCAGCACACTGCTCAAGCACACTCTCCTGAAGGGTAAGTAACTAGCACTGGTTTGACTGGAATGAGGATCCTTTTCTTTCTCAGCTACTTCTGGTCTTGAACCTGATTGATACCCAAAACGGTAGTAGCTACTTAACCAGTCTAACCTTCAAAAGCTAACATCAACATTCAAATGTTGGAACACTTGACTATATTTTAAAACCAGAAACACAATCGATTCAAAAAGATTAATCAATCAATGAAAAAAGACGAGAAGGGTTGATCAATTGTCGGGTTTGGGACTCATTGATTCTCCGCTTCATACGAAGGGAATCACACTTCAAATCAATCAAATCAACCAATCCTATCAATACATGATATGTTGAAATTGTAATCATCAACGATGATTTCTTGGTTGATCCTTGTCGAGGGGAGGATTGATCCAAGCCGTACTCAACTCAACAATCGCTATTATCTACCTTACACCTTCGATCGTCAACTCAAATCCATCGCTTTTATATACATTACTATCGATCGACAAAAACCAACATCACACTTTTCATGTTTCATACCGACTTGGTAGTTGATCCGTGGCAAAGAATTGCTTCGCTTTTAAGGGGTGTGCTAGGATAGGAGAGATGAAAGCTTAATTCACCAGTTGCTTCTATTAAGCTTACCACCGATCTACGAAAACCAGCATCACACTTTTATGAAATCGACGACCACTATTAACACATTCATGTTTCATATCGACTTGGTGGTAGATCCCTGGCAAGAAGCAGCAGAGGAAAGGAAAGAGGAAAGCTTCAATCAAATTTATCGTCAGTTGATAATCGACTTGTTGGTAGAAGGTGGGAGATATCCCTGCTAATTCGGAATGAAAAGAAAGAACCAATCTTCGTAATTCGAGATGATATCAATTGGAGATTCATCTATCTCCCACAATAAACTTCTACTTTTAGGTTGCTCATCGAAATGTCTATAGTTGAAAACCCACGTTTCGAGGGGTATGAAGGTGATAGGACCTCTGAAATATAAGGGTAGGAAGATTGAAAACCACTTATCAGGGCCAACTCAACTCATATTGGTGTGGCATGTGTTGGCATGTTGACATATTGGGCGGGAGCCCTTACCTCTATCAAGTCAAAGTATAAATCCCTGCGAAAAGAAAAGGAAAAGCAAAAGATCAAGAAAAGTAAAAGTTGCTGCGCTAGGAATTGGGAAATTAAGGATGACAGAAATGGGAGATCAATCACCTGTTGTATCTATCCCATCCAAGAAAGCTGGGCATCCGACCCAATAAAGTATCAGATTTAGGGTAGGTCCTTGTAAAAACCTTTCAAGTTGCTTACTGGCAATCGCACGTTTCATAACTTTTCAGGTGCTGATACCCCTAAAACTGAAGAGCCAAGAAAAACGAAGGGTACCTTTCAAGGGATAGGTCCCAGGATTAGCAGCTTTGTGTGCCTGAGAGAAGCGGCTAACATAGATGCTAGGGAAGGCGGTGAAGGAGAAGAGTGGATCGGTAAGTAGAGAGGTGTTCGAGTGTTTGAAGCGGCAGCAGAAGAATCTTATCAAAATGGATGGACTAGTTCGGTATATTCGTAGGAGTCAGCGCACAAAGATTCTATACCAGTAGAATACACTACACAAGGATTCTCTACAAAAAAATAGGAGTTAGCGCTCCAGTAGGGAAGGGAGGACCTATTGAATAAGTCATAATTGCATAACCTATCTCCGTCCTGTGAGAAAGACCTCCTTAAGAAGACGGGGGCTGACTAGCCGCTGAAACCCTTGCCGTTGGATTCGTGCCTCAAGACTCTGCCACAGGGACTCGGTCGGAAGAATCTACTGCGGCCTTCTCTACCCACCTTTATGAATTCTAACCCCCAACCAGCCATGACAAGGCTTAATTTATTAGAACCTGTTGTTGTTTAGAAAGATGTGTTATTCCTGTCCGGTGAAAGTCTCGTTTTTGACTCCGTTTTTTTTTAGCATTGTACACGGGATTCTAGCATGGGGGGACGCAAGGAAACCGATTATAAAACTTTACTGCCCTAGCATGGGGGGACGTCTAATCCTTTTGCCGCCGCAAGGCTGGCTAATCGTACGCAGCAGGCTCGAAGACCCCTGGTTCTGGAAGGCACATGAGTCCGAACGCTATGTTGAATGTGCGACCGACACTACGTAGGTACCAGTGCAGGTGAGGCATCGGTCGGTCCTAGAAACGGCGGCAACGGCGCGAGGAGTTAACGACCGGACGTGCTACAACCTAGGGATCACCAGGCAGCTCTTTCGCTCTATAGGGATCGGGGGGGCAAACCAACCCCCCTCGGGATAGCCTTCGCATTATACGATTTAGCAAACCTGTGTCGCTGAGGCCCTTTAATCGAGAGTTTACTTTTCAGGCGGTAATACCCCAGGCTGCTTCGCTAGGAAAGAATAAAGATTAGGAAAGTGGTGTGCTGAAGTAAAGTAATAGTAAAGACAGTGGGCTCCATCTTACTGTTGACGATGATTGGTTCATCAGAGTCTGGATCATCAACCTTTGCTTGATAAGCTCTCGATCAAAAAAGAAAGTCAAATCGATCCGAAGCATCCGGCATTCTTAGTGGAAAGGACTTATACCATGAACGGACTCTTTGCCTTGGGTCAATCAGTTCCTTGGCTTACTAATGACCACTTCGAGAAGAACCTATTTGAAAACAGTCTAATGCCACATCTGACTCAACAGCTCCGAGGAACGCCTTTTCTTCTTCATACAAGCCCCCTTCAACTATATGCAACCACTTCTTGAACAACCTATTCCTATTCATGCGAGAACAGCACATTCTATGCCATCTTCCTTATACTATTATTAAACCAAGCTTCAATTGCACAAGCCATTCTAAGGAAGATTAGACTGGCATCTGCCTTAGCCCTGTCTCCCTCTCTATCTAATTGAATACCAGCTTTCTCTTATATTAGTATTATATGTCACTTTCTTGTCCTATTCTTTTAGTTTTAGTATGCATGGGGGTAAGGAGATATTGATTACACGGTAGTTAGGAGCTCATAGTTTCGTGCGCTTACGGCGTGCTCTTTCTTTTCTTTTTATGACAAGTGGCCGCCAGGGACAGGTGTACACCAAAGCGCTGCGCTCCTGCTGAAAAGAAATGAAAGGAATTCTTTTCAAAAATGGGATAGACTACTCTGAAAGGTCCGATTCCAGTTGGATAGCCAGATGGGTCCCAATGGAAAAAGTTTCATCCTAGCTCGACCAACCTCTAGATCTACTTCTAAAGCTACTAGCTACGTTCAGGGGCGAAGATCCTTAGTGAACTCCTTATTCATTCAATTCAACAAGGCGCTCGGGGGGACGAAAGGAGAGCCAATGGCGAAACCAAAGAGAGAGGCGGCCTGGTGGGGACACCACGATACGATAGGGGATAAGGGGGCTTCCATTCACCAACAAAGACTAAAAATGCTCTCCGAACCGTGCTGGATAGTCACCCATCACACGGCTCTCAAACCCAA